AATATAAATATTCATGTTTTTCCTTTATTTGGCTGTAAAAGTGTGTGCTCTGAAAAAGCAGTTGATCTTTACAAATGTACCCTATATTATTTAGTTTTTTCCTATATTTGTTGCCTGTTACTATTCACTCACTTGGTCAGTTAAAATAGTGTGGTCCTTTACTACTAGTCTGTTTATTCCACCAGAGGATTTCTGCAAGACACCTACCTGAAAGAGAATAAAAAAGGGAATGTGTAGAAAAGAAGTGGTTCATGAGCAAGAGTGCAACGACCATGGCATTTTGCAGCAGTGATGGACTTCCTTGCACATTCCATAAATGACAGAGACAAACAATAACATCAGGCCAGGAAGAAGCACTGCACTCTCCACACCATCAATACCTGTCACCATCACCCAACAAACAGGGAATCGGCCAGTGTCATCCCCAGCTATATACTGTATATACATATTTATACAATGTATTTTACAAATAGTACCACTGGACTTTATGCACTTAATTCTTATGTTCAAAGATATTTACACTGTTTTACTTGAAAAGCCTAATTTTTATTTATTTATTTTTAAGCTAAATAAGAGGAATAAAAGACAATTTATTATTTTCTGTGGTCTGAGAAATCAAATATAGGAAGACAACCATAAGTACAATACCATCACGTAATGTATAGCAACTGATGTTAAATATAATGTTGTAAAACCCTTAAGAGATGAAACACATCATTCTGACAGGTTTTGAAAGAATGGTGCACAGTGATCCATCATGTCTTGCCATGGTATCCTTGTACTGGAAAAAAAAACACACTCAGGGAATAAGTAGTAAAATCATTTGAAATGGAAAATACAGAAATCCAAGCATGCACGCATCCTATAAACAATCACATACATTTCCTTCAAAACTTATATGTGTTGCTGTTGCATGCTCTAGGAGCATAGTTTTTATAGCAGAGAGAGTTGGCTCATTTGTCTGAAGGAAAATCTACAAAACATTAAACTAACATCTGGATCCAAACAATTTAATCATGGTTTAAAGTGAAGCCTGACCACAGGGCTTTTTCTTAGGCATTCACATAGCAGACAGTGGGCTATGATTTGTGTTTGCTCGGAATGCTGTACCTGTGAGTATAGGCTGAGCGCGCCTACAGACAATATACTGTAACACTCGCCATGTTGAGGGACAAATGACCAACAGTCGTGGTGAAAGGGACTTGACTCAGATTATTTTTTTGTAACTTGGGCCACGTTCACACTGTAGGCTGAAGTGGCTCAAATCCGATCTTTTTGCCCAAATGTGACCCATATCCGATTTCCTTATGACAGTGTGAACAGCACAAATCCGATTTTTTCAAATCTGGCCCAGGCCACTTTCATATGTGGTCCTAAATCGGATACATATCCAATGTTTTGCAATGCGACTTCAGTCTGAAAGGCCAGGTCGCATTTCATGCGATTTTTATGTCATTGAAATGCGACAGACGTCACAATTCTGCGCTGGAGGAGGCGAGGCCATAAGCAATATTTGTGCTCTCCTTCTTCTTGATATTCTTCGTATCATTATTTCTTTATTTCGTTTGCACATTAACTGGTACATCGCTATACACATGCTATCACAAGCCGCATCCATTTTAATTTTTGCAAACACAGTATGCTGCGTCTGACATCACTTCCTCTTCTGCCCATGCGGGTCACCTCAGGGCCGTATACCGTTCACACATGAGACAGATGGCAGTCGCATTTAAATGACAGTGTGAACAACAGCGCAAAAAAATCGGATTTCGGCAAAAAATCCGATCTGAGCATTAAGACCTGCAGTGTGAACGTAGTCTTGGACTTTTGCTTTAGTGACTTCACTACACTGCCTGCAACCCCTCTCTCCGCTCTGACATCTCAGCTGTTCTCTGCTTGGTGTCCAGGAGCTCAGTACTGCTCTTGCTCCAACAAGGACAAGAACTGCAAACATCAAAGCCATATTTTCTGATCAGCTTATTTCCTTCACTGGTCTTTTTGAGTCCTGTTAAAATGTTTCGTATTTACAAATTGAGAACCAAGTTGTTTTCAACATGGAAAAATGGATACAGACAATCATTTATATTTTTGCCCGATTAATGTCAATCCCTGTCTGGTATTACTAATGTTGTGTAAATCTGCTTAGACAGTCACACTGTGGCAACTCAATGTCCTTATGAGGAGAAAAAGAAAGTCCCCCAAATGTGAGTCATTACATTTTAGATTGATAGCAAAGTTTAAGGTTAGGGGAAGGTTTAGAGTTAAGTCTCCAGGAAATTCATGTAAGTCAATATAATATCCCCTGAAGTGATGGCAACACAAAATGTGTGTTCTGTGTTCCACTGAAAAACTGTGTTTGTGTTCTGTGATTTACATTCAACATGTAGTTGCAGGTTACCTATTAATGAAAAAGTGTTTCTTCTTTTTTATGAAAAGAGCACATACAAGCTTTGTTAGGTGTGTGTGCATTTCAATACATATAGGAGGCAGACTAGTCAGGTTATCAGGTCCATCACCTGCCTAGTCTGGTGATGGATTAGAGTACATGCCGGACAGTCTAGATAAGGAGCTAATGTCCATGCTGTGATTAAGGCAACTGATAAATGGATGGATATTTACCCTTCAACTGCAGTCTTCAGTTTATGTCATGATTCGGTCCCACCTGTTTCCATTGTTGTGCTTTTATTTTGACATTGCTTCCTGTTTTTGTTTTCACCACAGTCTCGGTCTTTTTACTTTAGTCATCACTCACATTAGTTTCACCTGCTCCTGAGTGTTTGCACCTGTTTTCACCCCTATTTAGGCAGCGTCCTCCCACTGGGACACTGCCAGATTGTTCTAGACTCTAGCTCTGACTCTCCAGCAGTTTTTTTTTTGTTGGTTTTTTGGTATTTCCTGTTCTAACCCGGATCGTGCACTTTGACAATTCTGTTCTGCCTTGCCCTCTTGCTTTGGACTGTCTACTGTGTATGAATTATCAGACTCTCCTTTCTGACATCCCGTTTGGATTCCTTTGATGTATGTGTTTGCTGGCTCTGACCCTGGACTGTATAAATTGACCTGTAAGTGTGTTTTGTGTTTACACCATGTCTTGCATCGTTTTTTGTTCAGTGTCTGTGCTCTTATTAAAGAGACAGTTTTGTTTTATGTATCCTCGTCTGGCACTTTAATTGAGTTCACCACAAAATTATCAGCAGCTTCACGTGCCGACCATGACAATTTAAGAGATATGTAGCACACATTTACACACACAGAGCAAAAATTACTATTTAAATTGTCTGACACAGTAGCAGAATCTAACAATCCTTTGCCTTTGCCTTACCTGTCAGACTTGTAAGACATCAAGCACAGATTCTGAGTTTATAGCTCCTTTGGAATAATATAGCAACTGTCCTCGGGAATCCTATGTGTCAGGGCTGTCAGGTTTTTATTTATTTTACGATTCAAGCAAACTACAAACACAATTTGCAGTGGTTAATCAATATCCTTAGTTCTGTCTTGTCAGAAGGAAGGTTGGGGAGTTTTGAGGCTTACATACAATCATGATCAGTATACAATATTGTGATTTTTTTTTTTTATAGAAGTGAAAACAGTCATTTCATTTACTTATACCATAAATTAATGTAGTTGTTGCACTATTGCACAGGTATGCGACCCCAGGCAAGGTTTTGTTGTTTTCTGATGGCTCAGTTCAGACATCAACTGCTACTGATAGCATGTTTGGGGTGTTAAATTTGAAACATAATGTAAACCAGAATTTATTAAAACCATATATTGTGCATAGGACAAGTTAATTTATAAATTTAAACAATGAGAAATTAGATACAATTATTCTGGCAAATATTTGAGACGTATCTGTTTTTTTTTCTTCTGGACTGACATGTCAATTTTCTTGGTCCAAGTCTGACCCGCATCAAGGATAACTGTTACCACATCTACATATGGGCTGATTCTAGTGCTATCAGCCAACACTGTAGGGTAACTACCTGCATCAGTTCAGATCTGAGGTATAAGGGCCAGACTCAGGCTAAGGACCCAAGCATATAGTGGGTCAGAAACTTTCACCAAAAACTGTCAGGATCTGCTGCAGCCTCTCAGTGAGCTCAGTTCAATTCACTTTTCTTTGTATAGCGCCAATTCAGAACTAAAATCATCTCAAGGCACTCTACAGAAAAACCCAACAAATCTTCCTTGAGCAAGCATTTGGCGACAGTGGAGAGGAATATTCCGTGTAATGGAAGAAATCTGATAGAAGACCATATACAGTTACACTATGTGCAATACCATGTGCAGTATTTGAAATTCCCCATTTTACCTGCTATCTTATTCCTATATCCACAATTTTATCAATAGTTTTGTATTTTGTATTCTTATATTTAGACTAGGTGTTTGTTCTTTTGGTTTTAAACTCTTTACTTGACTCCAGTAGAGTTCTCGAAAAGAATTCCTATATGCCTAGACTGTTTATGCATAAATGGCAAATAAAAATCTTGAATCTGGGCTCCCAAAGAGTGGTTCATTTGTCACTCTCAAGAAAAAGAGAGATCTGGGCTTAAAACCACTTTTGCTTATTGTTGACTATTTGGATTTACAAATAGTAAATATTTCATATCAGAATACATAAGGCTGCATTTGACATTTTACAAGCACTTCCTATTTTATTAATATACAGTAAAAAGCCAGGGTTTTATTTATTTTATTTTTTTATTTTTATTCATTTTGATGTTCCTTCCTTTTTAAAATATGTGTGGCCCAGTCTGTAATGGGATGTGGAAAGTGAAGACTAAAGTGGTCCCATTGGTAGGAACACTCAGGGGCTAGTACTCCCAAGCTGGCAGAACAGCTGCAGAAGCTCCCAGGAACAACGTCAGAGCTCTTTGTCCAGAAGAGTGCAGTGCTAAAGAGCTAAGATACTGCACAGAAGCCTCAAAGCCCCAGGCCTCTGGTGAAGGACCCAAGGTTAAGAAAGACAAATACCGCCCACAGGGATGAGAGGGATGTTTGTATTTCACACTGTAATATTTATTGCTGGATCCTGAATGAACCCCAAGGGACTGTAGGACAGGACAGTAGGGAGAAAGTAGAATGTTCCACTGAAACTGAAAATAACTGAGTAAAAGTCAAATCAGTTGACAACAGCAAATTTAGTAATAGGTTTTAAGGCTAGCTGCTACAATTACTGTACTAGAGCAAAACATATTTGAAAAAAATTGGAAGCATTCTCATCAAAAATGTCAAATGTTGTCAATGTTATGTGTTCATGTAGAAAAAGCAATATTTGCAGAAAGACCTATATCATTATTGGATTCTGGTACTCTGAGATTGTGTACATGTAGTTTGAATTTGTAAAAGTAACATCACTTCTATCAGGTAAAAATATGAAGTTGCCTGAGTGGTGCATGATAAAACATTCCCATCTTGTTCTCTTTATCCATTCTTCAGTCGTTCAGTAGTCTTCACTCTTGAGCTGTGCATTTTGTAGTTCCTGGATCAGTGCTGGAGGAGATAAGCAGAGTAAGATACAGAGATTACGCAGCATCATTCGCTGAATATAAATCATTTATACATACCATATACTAGCTTCAAAATTTAACCTAGTGACAACAAAGAAGGTTGAATTTACCTGTGATAATCTCCTCCTTCACTCTGTGAAGTTCATTTTTTACTTCTTCAAGAATTTCCTTCAAACACACATATACATGCAAAGATACTGTTATTAAAAATATATGGCAAATCGTACTTCATAATTAGTCAATCCTACTTCATAATTAGTCAATCAGTATTTCCTCCACCGTTATGCAATAATTCTGAATGGATGGATATGTTTACCAGCAACACTGTTTTGTATTTAACATGTGCAATGATGATGCTGTGATCAAAACAAACTGTTTTATGTGTGTAGTACACCTGTGAATGATCAGCTGTGCATAGTGCACTGAGACTATTAAATATAACAACTGTCAGCAGAGTAATCCCGCTGCCTCATGCTGAGCTCTACCTTTGACAGACCTGGCTCATTGAGACACATGATTCGATGTTGCACCAAGAGAATGTCCTTATATTCAGTAGCAGTCGGTTTTTATTTGTAATTTCACTGCAGCATGATTTGAAAATTGAGTCATTCACTTGTTTTTCTGATGAGGATGCCGAGTTTAAAAACAAAGGCAGGAAGAGATTTTGGATCCATCACCCTCTGCAGTGTAGAACATCATTAAAAGATTCAAGGAATCTGGAAGGATTTCAGTGAATAAAGGCAGAGGGCACACGCCTAAGCTGGATGCCTGAGCTCTTCGATCCCTCAGATGGTGCTGCATCAAGAATCGTCACTCTTCTATAAGTGAGCTAACCACATGGGCTCAGGGGATAACTGGAGGATTCTCCTGCGAGGCCCTAGGTGTGTGGAATTCCTTTTTGTTTTTGTACTAATTTAGCATTGAAGAGCATCCATAATACCCACGCTCATTGCTTGAGTTTAAAACGGTTTGGGGCATGGCTTGGTCAAACTTTGTAATAGCCTCACGTAACCCCAATCACTAACTTATTCGTTTCAAGTTTTGTCTGAATGGCTTTGCTAGCCGAAAGTATGCTGAACTTATTAAGATGTGAAAATAGTCAAATTGGACCCCAGAAAGTAGGTAAAACAAGTAGGTGTGAACGTGTGTGTGTGTGGGGGGGAGGGATAGAGACAGAGAAGGAGAGGGGGAGGGGGAGAGGGACAGAGAGAGGGAGAGAGAGGAGTTATGTAGGGGCATGTCCCAATTGCGCTGCATTTTATGGACCACCAGATGGCACTCCAAGACTGTGTCATTGACTCAGCACTTTGAGCTTCCATTGACTTGTATTGCAAAATATAAAGCTGAATAGATTAAAAAGGAAACTAACCTGTTTGATTCGTTCCATATCGGTATCACCTCCCGCACAATCTGAGTTCTTTTTCACCAGCTTCATCCTAGGATAGAATGAGTCAAGTTTACCTTTAGCCAAAACAAAGTCCTTTAGATCAAGGAGGTCTTTTCCAAAGCTGGCCAGGAGATATAGCTTACTTTGTTTCAGGGGGAAAAACAAAAGCACATCAATCATATGGGTTAGGAGAGAGTGAGAGGAGTAAAGGAAAAGCACAGCAGCAAACTGCCTAAACCAGTAAATGTAATTAATATTTAGAACAGATCATCAGCCATCATCACAACATCTGAAAAAGAGCAACCCCTTCCTCGGGTCTTAAAAAGCCTTTTATGCAAAGTTCCTCTGACTAGTTTAATTTAAATGTCTCCAAAATGTCAACTTCTGCTTGTACTGACTGGAGTTTGTATTGTGGAACAGTGACTGGTGATTGACCAAAATGTAAATACATAGGATGGATCGATGCTAATCGTCATGCTGCTCTGATATTCAGATTTCGTGGGCACAATCTAAGATTATGCTCATGCCACGAAGAAAAAAATCAAATGAATTCAGTTGCAGAGCTCTATCATGGCTATATGCTACAGTGGAGCAAAAGACTGATGGTCACCTAAGCAGCTTAGACACAGTTTTCAGCTTCTTACAGCTTCAGGAAGAAACCACCAAGTGCCAAGTACTTCATTTCATGTAGTAAGTCATTTGCAAGCAGCAGACCACTGATGATAACAGTACCGATAGTACTGATTTAACTGGCTTGTTAGCATCATGCAAAAAAGAGCAGTCTGAAAACCAGCATCTCAGGACAGAACCTAGATAGCAGGAGTGGACAGTGGGTGGACTGGTACCTGGACACGGTAGAGTTAAAAGAAGGAGAAGTGGACGAGGTGGGACATAGGCTGGAGTCCCTTGGATTGCTGGTTAAGGATTTGAGCCTGTTGCAAAAACATTCAGATACTTCAAGGCAGCTGATGGTTGGATATTGAATGTGTATGAATGGCATGGCCAAATATTATTGTAAGAGTCATGAGGAAAAGTAAAAGTTTGACTGATCAGTCTCTTACCTTGGCATGGTAGCAAATTTTTCCTTTTTTATTTCTGGTGAAAAAAGATTACATGTATGTACATGATAATGAGGAAAAAGTAAACACTGTTTGTAGTGATTCCTCTCTATTACCCTAAAGTTACAGGCGACATCTTCATGTTTGTAGTGTTAAAAAGACGTGATAATATATGAGGTATATATTGTTCTAAAATTAAACCAATATTGTGGTTGTTGACAAAGTAGGTAAGTAAGTTATTATGAAACTACTATTTTCTTTTCCTAGTATAGGTGATGCGACAATGAATAAAAACAAATACCATGAATTCCCTATTTATGTGGCTTTATTACCTGCTGAAGACAAAGTGACATTACTTACCTCCTGGTCCTGAGGATTTTGTTACTGATGAATCAGAATCCTCCTGTAGTCATTACAGATATACCAAAGTTATCACCTACTCCTATCTCAACTCTTACTGATCATTCTACAAATGCTACAGAATAATGAGAGAAAACTCAATAGTGAAAATCACTGACAGGAAACTTACATTGCGTGCTTCTTCCTTCTTTGCAGCTGGATTATCAGCAGCTTTCCTCCTATTTAATATAGTTGTAATATGAGCACACAGAAGTCCTTAATATCAAATGATCACAGGCATATCTTTTTCTTATTTTGTAACCTTTATTTTACCAGGATAAGTAGTATCAGAGGTCAGCAACCTCTCTTTCAAGGGAGACCTGGCCAGGATGGCAGCATTACAAGTTTCAGACAGGACAGTACAATATCTAACACACAAAAATCATGTGTATGAAAGGTCAAATAGACTAAAAACGGAGAAGGGTCCAACATCCACACCAAACATTAATTAAGCTAACAAAAGAGATAATTAGTAAAATATTAATTTAGAGGTTAAAGTAGCCCAGAATTGAGTCTAGAATACCAAGGTCTTTAACTGAATTTCTTTCTGCAAACTAGGTCAGATGACTGGAGCAGAAAATATAAAAAAGTTAGTATGGTAGAGGCAAACAGCAGATATGTGTCCTGTGATCTAAGATTATTGTATGACTGGAAGATGACCTTAATACTTTAAGTTTTCCAAAGATCTATCTGAAATGTCTCTAACTTACCTCCTAGCAAGGATGGCACTCATTTCCCCCATTAGATCACCTCCTCCACCTCCACCAGATGAAGATGTTGGTTTGGGAGCAGGGGCTTCTGCTCCTACCTCATCCTTGATACACAAAAGCACCTCAGTTCACTATGTGGGCCACTGAATAGCTCATTCAGTCTGTCATTTATGAGAGCATGTACATTAAAATCGTCCATTGTTTGTTTCCCAAGCTGCATCTTTTTATACATTTTTATACAGTAAAGCCAGTGTGTATCAAGTATGTACCAGTGCAAGCTGGTGGAGTACGCAAAGGACAAAAAACATACATGCCCTTTACCTTGGCCATTTTACGCAGTTTAGCTCCGGCCAGAGCTGCAGCCAGATTGTTTGCCCCGCCACCTGCATTTCCTCCAGCAGGGGGCGGGTTTGTTGGAGGTGGGACCATGCAGCCAGGAGGAGGTGGTGGAGCTGCAGGTGGGCATAGTCCAGAGGAAGGTGGTGGGCCAGGAGGTGGTGGGGGTGCTGGGGCAGGTGGTGCAGGAGGAGCAGAAGGGGCAGATGCAGCAGCGGAGGCCTGCCTCTCTCGCTCCACACGTTCCTTCTCCTGCTGCTCCTGCCTCTGATGCTCTACTCTGGATAGGGATTGACAGAAAATTCATAGATTCATCATCTGTTGGTGTTAAAATGCAGCAGCTGTTAAAAACTGTTTCCTATTTATGTTTGACTTTTTCCACAATTGAGATTTGTATCAGAAGGACTGGTTGATTAACTGATTCATAATTTGGTTTGTTTAGAAAACATCAAAGCCAAATATAAACATGTTCCAGCTTGATTTGATTTGATTTGATTTGATTTATTCTTTCAAGCATGTAAAGACAGTTGATATGACAACACACATGATTGTACACATAATCCAGTATCAATTTGCTTATACCTAGTACATGCTTGAATGGAGTAGGAAGAAGTCAGACTTATCCAGTCCTACCCCATGACATCATCTTACCATCATTGGTTTGCAAGCAGTAAATGATTCACTTCTACCCACACAAGTATTATACTAAAAAAATTATAACAGTGTTAGCTTCTCAGGTATGAGGATTCTTTGCTAATTTTAAACTACAGAACTGGTTAAAGAAATCAAGACAACAAACAATGAGGTTATTAATTAAACATTAGTCACAGCCTTAGTGTCATCTGTAGTGAACAGTACCTTCTCTGGTGTTCCAGCTCCTGTGCAGAGTGTCTATTCTGAACTTGGCCTGAGAAAAAACATGCTTTTATTATTTATTTATTATTTTTTGCAGGTGTACTCCTCTCAGTCCATAGACTCCAGACTATTAAAACAAGGTGACAAACAGGGATGAAGTCCAGGACAAAGCAGCTAAACTATAGCCTCACGTTTGTTTTCATATCATATAATCATAGTATATATTGCATTAGCTGTTGTTCATTTGACTCAATTTCACTTCATGCACACAATTACTTTCAATGTGAAGTGTTTTCTGAAAACATATTTCATTTTAGTTTACAGTAGTTCCAATGACAAATTTGTCTGTGACTGGAAATAATAATAAACACACTCTTTTTAACAGAACACAACAGCATCTCCTTGCTTACTATAAAATAGCTTTGCCAAAAAAATCAATTAATTAATTAATTAATTAATTAATTAATTAATTCAGGAGATCTGTAACAAAATGAAAGTCTATTGAAAACACCTGAGCCATTTATAATTTAAATAACTAGTTAGACTTTTGAAAAATGTTACCAACGTTTGATTTTGAGATTTTGAGTCATGCTCTAGATGTGGCATCAAGAATACACCACAGAAACAGTTCACACTGTCTGATCTGGATCAATATGCCTTCATTGCTGTTTACCTGCTCCCACAGGTGCATTGAGAGCCTCTAATGCAGATGTCATGGAATTGGCAAAAAGAGCAGCATCCTCTGTACTGCCAAAGTTCAGTCCCCACACCTGTTTGGGATCTCGCCACTGGTGGAAGTTTGGTGTGGCTTGATTATACTTCATCCCTTTAATAACAGCACAATTGATCACCACCTAGCATTAACAGGAGAGACAGGATAGTGACAGTATTGAGGATTCGAAACTTTGGGAGTCACAGCTTACAATGTCATGAGCACATGTATGGTCCGGTGTAATGCAATTCAACGCAAATGTTAGAGAGGTCAGTGGTGAGTTGATGAGTTTATATTTTTGAAAAGTGCATTGCATTGAATTGTTAGGTGTATGTAGAATCACCACCTCATAGCATGAAGATTACATCTTCACAAAGCTTGGTGTGCAACTTCCAGTACTATGTGTGTGTACATCAAAATGCATTATGGCGATGCTTTTGGCTGTGTGTTGTGCACTTGTACCTGCTGGTCAGCTTGCAGTTTGCGGCCCACCACTCTGAAGGTATTGGCCACAGGGCTGTGATAGATATGGACACGGCTGATGCAAGGACTTTCAGATCCCGCTGGCACCCAGCGCCTGTGGGTGTCATCATACAGCATGACTGTTGCCCTCACCTGGCAGATGCTGGACTCACTGTTGGATGGAGAGATGATGAGGAAAACATGGCAAGAAGCAGAGTACAAGACAAAACCACAAATTGAAAGGAAGTGCAGAGCAACCAGAGAAGTGTGAAGTGTGATATGGTGTGTAGTAATACTAGCCTCGGGCACACTGATATCAATACTTTTATTACTGAAATAATCTGATGTACTATCATATAAGAGAGATAAATAAGCTACTATTTACATTTTTACCATTTTTGACACACTTTTAACTGCGTCTTCCTGTGGTGTTGATACTTGCATAGTATTGTTTGTACAGAACGTGGTACCTTCAGGTGTTTGGAAATTGCTCCCCAGGATGTGAGGGTAGTTTTGGGGGATGTTTCTACTAAGAAAATGAATAATGCTATTACTGTAGCTTTAATTACTTACTCACATGCAAATTTAAACACAAGATGGATTTCACAGGTAAATGACAGTTGTTCATGATGTCAGTTCTCGGAACTAAAGAGGGCATCACACAACAGCAGCAATGCAAAAACTTCAGTACTGAAAAGAGTGTTCATGTGCCTGGGATGTGATCTGACATGATGGATGATGCTTTTTTGTAGTAACAATCTTGTAGTGTTCCTGTACAGCTTTTCCACAGGGACCTCTGGTAACTTGTACTTGAGTGTAATCTCCCTTTCACTCAACATGTTTTTGGGATAGGCTCAGGAAAATCAGGTATGGATGGATAGAAAAAAAATACTAATATTGGAGGACTCTGAAAAGAAAACTTTCTTGTGTCCAATAGTAACATTTAAAAAATGTAATCAAGGTATGACTATAGATGTAAAGCCTATGCTGTATGCACACAGTAAATAGATGGCAAGCAATAAACATGATAACTTTGGCTTCCTTTGTTAATTTGAAAAGGGCTTTTATTTATAAAAAAAAAAAAGTCTTTAATCAACTAACGTACCACTGAGACTGGTGATAATTGTAACGCCTTTTGTTTGAGCATCACTAACTTCACTATCTCAATGACTGTTTGTGCTGGATCTCTCAAACTTTGATACATGGTACTTATATTTGTCTACTACAAATAAAACTCACTGGACAATGGCTACATCATCACAGATTATGAGTTAATGTCAAATGTTACAGCCTACCCCACAACTGGGGTGTGTTGTAACACTAGTTGGGGATGGATGTAACAACACGACAATTTGCTGAAATAATATCTACACTAGTCAGCCCTATGACAAACTGGCAACCTGTCCAACCTGTCGACCCAAGGTCACCTGGGACTGGCTCCAGCCACCCATGACCCTATTCAGGAATAAGTGGTATAAAGAACGGATGGATGGATATCAACATTATCCAATTTATGTAAGAATTGTACTAAATAATAAAGAATGGTCAGCTTTGAATAAGGTGAATAATTTGTAAGAAGGCACACAGTGGTTGGGGTAAGGTTAGGGCAAATCTCCAGGAAATGTATGTAAGTCAGTATAAAGATCTGCAAAGTGGCAAGTACAAGGATGTGTGTACGTGTGTGTGGTTTGGGGGGGAGTCTGTATTTTAGAATGTCACATAAAGGCTCAAATACTGTCACAGTTATGTCAAATGTAGATGCTGCCCCTGGGGTGCAGGGATTGTGGGCTGAAAAGAACTGACCTTATTCACACTTCTTTTGGTTTTGACTTTGCACAGTGTTTGTGTACACAGTGCAGAGACTGTCACCATCAGAAGTGTCAGAATCTCTAGGTCACTGGGCTTCAGAGGATAAGTGGGTGGTCATATAGGGATGGTTGTAACATTTGTAATAAACTGTTACACCTGCCCTCACCCCAAGCAGCCATGACACAGCTAACAGTTTTAGCTTGGGTTTGAAGTTAGCAAGAATGTAAAGCATCAAATTAACGTAGAGAAACTGCTGCTTTAGGTTACATAGGTCAAACCATTGTATCTACAATGCAATGAGAACTAGGCAAAAAATAATCTTGATAAAAAATGTTAAAATTGTTTTTGTTCATAAAATTCTCAGTGTTGCTCAGAGTCCTGCCACTTCTTTTGTCATCGCAAAAAGGAAATGGTTATTTATCTTATTTATTTATGATAGTGAATAGCAACAACACCTTTTCTGACTGGTCAGACTGACAGTGTTACAATGTTTTTGTGAATTTTTCATTAGGGCTATAACTGAAGTTCTATGTACACATTTAGCAGCTGATATTTTAGAACCCAGGCCTTTACAAGGCATTCATGTGTTTGAAGGCTTTCAGGAAAAGTCAGGACAGAGAAAACAGAGGTATGTTTGCAGCAGCATTGCAGGTACTTATTTTTGTATTCTCTGAGGCATTGTGGCAATGAGGTTTTTATCAGTCTGCATGTTGTTGCAAGTCTGTAGCCTGTGGGAAATCTTTACATCCTGCTCAAAAGGTTTTTATATTTTGACCACTTCCTGTGCAAGGTGCCATGCCGCCTAACGTGGATTAACCTGTCAGTAATATAAACTAACTTCTCAGAACAGTGAGCCCTAAAAAATCTCTTTAGGGTTTAACAAAGGAGATACAGATCATCCAGCTCTGATATTTTTATCTAATGTGACAGCTGTTACAGGAGTACACCTGCTCTGAGCTCCAAACGTTTGCAAACAGCATGAAATGTAATCAGAACAAAAAGATTGGTTGACCAATGACAAGTCCTGATAGGAAGCTGTACTGATCTGCAAAATTTCAGCCATTATGGAAGAAAAAACACAGTTTTAAGTGAATTAGCATAATTGCAATAATAATTAAATTTACTTACCCCATATTCCAGCTGTAGTCAATATCCAAAGGTTTGCTTGCTTTTTACCAAACAATTTCTTCTCCTCAACTTGAATCACTTCCTTGTCCCTGTCACAAGTATATTTGCTGTCTATTGATGAAGCCTGCTGTCATTCTTGCCTGCAAACCTCCATTGCTCTCTAACATCACATAACATAACACTAACCGCTTGCACTTCTGCCTCTGTATTCTCGTTTCCTAGACAGGTTTTTTTCTGTCTTCCTGTTCTCGTTTCTTTCACTCGTTCTTTTAAATGCTCATTTTCACATCTCCCCCATTCTCCCTGTCCCTGTGGCATAGCTCTGATTTTTATCTGCTTTCTTCTTTCCATCATACACTGGTGTTTTTATAGGGAGCAGGGATAGTTTTTAGTACAAGTGGTGCCTAGTTGTATGTGTGTGTGTTTGGGGTGAAGGACAACGAGATTCACTATAGTCTCACACTGGTTCTCTTCACATATTTATTTAGACTATTTAAGATAAAGAGCAGGAAACATTACATGCCAAGGTTCATTGCAAGTTTTCCCACTGCTTGTCTTGTGTGCAACAGGAAACTTGCATGTTGTGAACCACAGTTGTTGTGCTGTAATTTAACTTCATGGCTCAGTGCAAACAGCTGTTAGTGTTCTGTATTCATGACTGTTGTAGCTGTGTTAGCCAACTGCAGTTGTATCAAGTAATATTTAGCTGAATGTCTTAAAATTCAAATGTGGTCAGAAACAGTTGTAGTATAACTAACAGAAGTAGTAGTACTAGTAGGAAAAACAGCAACAGATACAGTAGACTATACTGTAGGTACATTGTAGTAGTGTATGTCATAGGCAGGCTGGTAATTTGGACATCCTGTCAAAAGCCAGCGTGGCCGGTTGACCTTCTGTGTGGATGGCCATCAGACCCACTAACCATAAAATGCACAATCTATGTTAACAGCACGGAATCCACCAATAGGGGTCCTGCACTGGTTCCGATCATGCATGATGATTTAAGTTTAAATACTACACCTGGTGTAGACTGATACTGCATCATGGTTGTAGGCCACTCACATTACTACAAATAAATACAACAGATGCAACTTATGTTCTTAAACACATTTTGCATATTCCAAAGAATATTCTTTACAACAATTTTAATAAAAAATGTAAATATTATGACCTAATGTGTCTTTTGTTTAGCATTTTGGTTGCATTGCATGCTGGGTAAATCAAGTAGTGGAAGACTGTAAGTGGTTGTGGGCAGGAAGCAGGAACACAAAGTTTAGCATTTCTCAGCATGGACAGAAAATACAAAGAAAAGCCTGGCCAGGGGAAAATAAGAGAGGAAACACTCAAAGCACTGGAGAGTGATGCCTCCCAGAGTAGAAA